GAAAGATGCCTGACTCCATGGCCATAAAACAATGAATGGCATATATCTGAGCAAAGCACTGAGGGAGGCTGATGGACTTGGCACCCAACCAGAAGATGGCCAGGATCTTGGGCATGATGGTGGTGGCCAGGCCAATGTCCACCACAGCAAGGGCACTAAGGAACTGGTACATGGGCTGGTGCAAGGTAGCCTCGTGGCCGATGGTGATCATGATGAGGAGATTGGCACCCAAAGCTAAGATGTAGAGCAGAGCCAGAGGCAGGGAGAGCCAGTGCTGCCAATCGTAAATGCCTGGGAAGCCCAACAGGAGGAATTCAGATACTTGAAACCCTGAGTTATTACTCCAACTCTGGGAGGTAGCCATATCTGGGTACATCTTAATTGTTTGTTCCTCTCTGTAAAAAAAAGGGGGGGGGGTGAAACAGGAAGGAAGTTTCAGTAAGCTGAGAATTAATTTACCTATAATAACTTAGTCCCTTTCAACATAATTGTTGTCTCTGGGAAAATTTGAGAGCAGAGCACCTGAGATGGCAAATATAGGTCCTCAAAGGACAATTGCAGAAGAGATAGAATCAGAAGGGAATGAGTTACTAAATGTAAAGTCGCTCAGTGGTGCTTTTTCTCCATGGGGCAATAAGGACATGGACATAATGCAGATACACAATCATTAAAGCACAATCTGATTTCTTAGGATGTACAGATTAAAGAGAGAGCTGACACGTTCTTCTGTGGAGGGCTGATAAGAATAAGTCAAAAGGACCATCATAATGACAGGGTGAGAAAAGTCATTGATCAATAGTTATTAATTATATAAAACAACAATATCTATGAATTAGTGTATAAAAATACATTTAAAATGCAGTTTCAGAATTTGGTGGATGGAGGTAGGGGGCAGGATAAAACCAAAACAATGTACATGAATGAAACACAGCATAAATAAATAATTGCATGCAAGTGAGTAAAACTCTTTTTTAAACAATCATCATAATAATTTTGTTTCCAGTAAGTTTTAGAGATTCTCACAAAAACTTTAAAAGGAAAGTTTTCCACGTTTGATAAATTGGAGGTACACAGAACTGAAGTGATTTGAAGTGCAAGTTGTAAACAAGGAAAGAGCTGAGGCTAAACATTCTGTATTCAACTGGCGAGCATTTTCTTTGCTAATGGCTTACAAAATAAAGTTCTTCTAAGGTTCTTTACTTTCTCAAGTATAGTTGAAAAAAATGTTTTTCAGATAATGAACTTTTAATATAGAAATAAGTAAGATGTCTTAGTTAAAGATAAGCTTCTTATAATTACTAATTTATTAGGATAGTCTCAAGAATATTTATTTTTAACTTACTAAACCTATTAAGATCAAGTCAATACTGACTGATAGTGCCTTCTATTGGGTTTCCAAAGAGGCAAATGGCAGGGGAGATCGCCTAGCTTTCTCTCATAGAACCTACGTTAAACTCGAACCACCAGGGAAGCTGGGTCTTTGGGTTAGCAGCACAACAACCTCCTGACTAAGTCACTGAAGCATCCTATGTGCTATATTTTTTCTTAAAGGAATTCTAACATGTACAATGCTTAACTACCTATCTATAATAGATATTTAGAGAGGTACATCTGGGGAAGAATCACTGGAAAAGCTCAATATCAGCTGTGAAAACTAGACTAAGTGCTGACTGTGGACCAGACTATCAGCTACTCATGTGCCAGTTCAAACTGAAGCTAAAAAATTAAAACAAATACATACAAACCAAAATATTACCTTCAGACTATCCCACCAGAATTTAAAAAGCATCTGAAGAACAGGTTTGAGGCCTTCAAAACTAATAAATGAAGATCAAGCTGAGCTATGGGATGATATCAAGCATGTCATCCATGAAAAAAGCAAAAGATGTACCAAGCTTGTCATCTAAGAAAAAACAAATGATCATTACAAAGACAGAGGAGGAAGAAAAGACCAAGATAGATGTCAGATAAGACTGACTAATTCACTAGAAGGCCAAGAAGCCAAAACAAAGAGAAGAAATGAGGACCCTAAAGAATAGAATAGAAGAATTTTAAAAGCAGCTTGGGAAGACAAAGTAAAGTATGTAATAAAATACTTGAGCTGCACGTAGTTGGAGCTGGAGTCAGAACTCACTCAGCATTTCTTAAGCTGAAGGAACTGAAGAACCAATTCAAGCCTCAAGTTGCAATACTTAAAGATGCTATGAGCAGAATATTGAATGATCAAGGAAGCATCACAAGATGGAAGAGCCAAACTGCAACCAAGCTTAGAAGCGCTAGTCCAAGGTATAAAAAGACTGCCAAGTAAAACCAGAAATGCACAATCTAAAGGGGATAAAATTGATGCATAGGGCTTTTTCAAGATTAAATCCCTGTGTGCATCAACACACATTTTTCCAACTAGCTGAAAATAAAACCTACAGATTAGGAACAAACATTTTAGTAATACCATCTCAGACTAGAGTCTTATAACAAAAGTTTACAGAATATTCCTGGGCCTCCGCAAAAAAAAAAAAAAGGATTGATAACCCAATTACAAAATGGACAAACAACATTGAAAGTATTTTCACAGAGGAAGATATTCAAATGGCAAACAGACACACGAAAAATGCTCCAAATCACTGCCAATAAGAGAGATGCAACTAGTAATGGTGGCAAGGTTTAACAGTGCAGCAAGTAATGAATGTTGGAAAGGATGTGGTGAGAAAGGAACTCTTTTTTTTATTACTGTAGTGTGTGTGTGTGTGTGTACCATCCAATTGGATCTGACTGGCCAGGAAGAGATTGCCCCTCCTTCTCCAGCAGTGCGTCTGGTGGAGAATTCTTTTGTGGTGGTATTGTCAATGATTTATTCACCACAAATATCTTTTATTTTAATTTAATTTGTTTTATTTTCTATTAGTTTATTTACAAAATTCAAATACAAATTTGAACAAATTCTTTCAATATCCCTTACCCCCCTACCTATCAAATTGTATAACCCAATGATCAATCCCCGTGTCCCCCTGAACATCTCCATCCCTCTGCTTCCAACCTCTCCCACCCCTCTTGAATCCTTATATTCATTCTACAATGTTTTTGTACAATATTTATCCTTGTGGGACTGAGTTAGTTCAGTCAGCATAATGCTTTTCAGTCCTCTCAAGTTAGGTAATAATTTAAAAAATCATTGCTCCTGAGTGCTGCATAGTATTCCATTGTGTGGATGTACCTACCATAATTTCTTAATCCATTCATTTTATGGTTGAACATTTGAGCTGTTTCCATTTTCTTGGGATGGTGAATAACAGTGGCATCTTGCAGTATTTGTCCTTTTGTGACTGAGATATTTCACTTATTATAATGCCTTTCAGGGTCACTCATTTTGTATAATAATACTTTAGTTCCTTGTTTTTCAGTGCTTTGTAGTATTCCTTTGTGTGAGTATACCACAGCTTCTCTATCCATTCATTTGTTGATGGGCACTTGGGTTGCTTGCTTCCGTCTCTTTGCTATTGTGAACAAAGCAGCAATAAAGATGAGTGTGTATATATCCGCTTGGGTGGCAGTTCTGGTTTCTTTAGGGTATATTCCTTAATAGTGGAATTGCTGGGCCAAATGGTATTTCTATTTCCAAGTTTTTGAGAAAGCATCATACTGCCTTCCAGAGTGGTTGTGCTATTTTACACTCCCACTAAGAGTGAAGAAGGGTTCCAATTTCTCCACAACCTGGCCAGCATTTGTTGTTTGCTGGTCTGTTGAACTTTGCTATTGTTACTGGGGTGAGATGATATCTCATAGGACAAATACTGCATAATGCCACTGTTATAAAACAGGGCTGACATGGGAGCTGGAGGGAAACTAAGAAAAGAGGGAATAAATAATGAACACTACATATGACCCAGGTATTCCACTACTTGGAATATACCTTGAGAATATAAGAACTGAGGCACAAACTGAGATTTGTACACCAATATTTATAGCAGTATTATTCACCATTGCAAGAACAGGGAAACAGCCCAATTGTCCAGCCACAAACAAATGGATTGAGAAATTATGGTACATTCACACATTCAGTTTTATAATATTTATAGTTTTGCAAGGAATTTATTTTATATACAGCACTATATTTCTCTTAATACTTTTTTCAGCTTTAAAGCTTCTATCAGGTATTAATTCTATCAAATTAATCTTAGAGTTCCTATGTTGGGTTCTAAAATAGTATAATTTGGGGAGGTCTTTGTTAGATATGTAAATTAGACTTGAGAGGGGAAAAGTTGACATTCTTAGACTAGTAAGCCTGTAGGTGTTACTACTTTCAGTAAAATCTAAAGGACTGAAAAAACTTTATAAAATTTGTATACTTCTGTACTGTTTTGCACTGGAGGTGTTTTTCGTGCATAAGATTGTTCTGTTTGTTTGTGTATTCCAAAGTATCTGCCATATGAAAACCCACTGAATTTACCTTCTGTAATGTTATTATTTGGTTTTGTGATTATTCACGTTGCTAAATTTTTACCACTTTTGAACAATTTAACTTGTGTTTCATGTTTTCCTAATAAACAGTCAACTCCTTTTGGTAAATATTGAATTCATTATTTTCTACAGTGCAATTGTATTTGTTTTGTTGTTTTGCCTTATCTATCATTCATGTCTTAAACTCTGGTCAATTTTTTAAAATTTCCCAATGATACTCTCTTAGACATTCTTGGTAGATCAAATGTTGCTAATAACCCCCAATAATATTTCACTTCCTTACAAGTACTACTTTCTCTAAATTGTTTTATGACTAGTTGAAATGGGTAAAAAAATCATTATTTAGATAACTGTGATTGCATAAATGTTCAACTTCTTGGAAAACTCAAGTAGAATTCACAACAATCATTTGTTTCAGAAAATGATGTTTGAAAATTTAAGGAGAGCAAAAGAGAGAAAGATCCTCAACAAGCTGGACTGACACAGTGAATGCAACAATAGACATGAGTACCACCACATACAGAGATTGTGAGGATGGCACAGTCTAAGATAAGGTTTTGATCTGTTATGCAGCAGGTAGTAGCTTTGAGTGGTAGTTAGTTGACTTGTTAGAGCCTTACAACATGTTTTAAAGTTGTATACCCTTTGTCAAATGTAATGAAGCTATCTGTTGGTTTTTAAAGACGTATTAGTCATTGATTGCTATGCCAATTAAATACATATTTATATTAAATTAATGTAATTTTCACCCTAATTTCCAAAAAATACTTATAGCTTTTGTTATTTTGCTTTCATTTTCTCTTAGTGTGTTTTATATTTGGTAGTTTATTAAACTGCCTGCTCCCAGTTCTCTTTTCATCTGTGTCTAATTGAATACAAATTATTCTTGGAGTTTCTTTTTATTTTGTG